TGCTGTTTTGTGACAGCAACCGTAGAAAACTAATGTAGGCAATAACAAATATTTGTTAATTAACCAACATATTTCTAAGTAACCCTTGCATCCCAGAAGAGCTGCTAAGGAAAATTAGAAAATATATTACACTGAATGAAAACGAAAATACAACATACCACAATTTGTGAGACGCAGCTAAAGCAGTGCTTATAAGAAAATTGTTATAGCTTTAAATGTTTATCACAAGGAAAAAAAAAACTATCTAAACTCAATACCCTAAGCTTCTACTTTAAGAAGCTAGTAAAAGAAAGTAAAATCAAACCCAAAGAAAGAAATAGTAAAGATCAGAGCAGAAATCAATGAAACAGAAACAGAAAAGGAATAGAGAAAATCAGTGACCCCAACTTCGTTTGTTTGAAAAGGTCAACATAAAAAAAAAAAAGGTCAACAAACATGATGAGCCCTGAAAACAAAGCAAAACACTTGATAAACCTTTATCTAAAATGGCTACTGATTAGATCCAACCAGAAATTGCCTAATAGGGATCCCTGGGTGGCGCAGCGGTTTGGCGCCTGCCTTTGGCCCAGGGCGTCATCCTGGAGACCCCGGATCTAGTCCCACGTCGGGCTCCCGGTACATGGAGCCTGCTTCTCCCTCTGCCTATGTCTCTGCCTCTTTCTCTCTCTCTGTGTGTGTGACTATCATAAAATAAATAAAAATTAAAAAAAAAAGAAATTGCCTAATAATTCGAATAGGAGAAGCTTAATATAAAGAGTTATTAACTATAATAGGAGATTGGACTGGGGGGAGGTAGATGAGGATTGACTAGTAAAAAGTAAAAAGAACTCCAAAAAAATACAAAAGCAGATTTATTTATTATTTTTTTAAGATTTTATTTATTTATCTGTTCCTGAGAGACCCAGAGACGCAGAGACCCAGGCAGAGGGAGAAGCAGGCTCCCTGCAGGGAGCCCCATGTGGGACTTGATCCTGGGACCCGGGGTCACGCCCTGGGCCGAGGGCAGAGCTCAACCCTGGAGCCCCCAGGTGCCCCGCAAGGGCAGGTTTAAGGAGCACCCATTGGTCCCCAGAGCGGAGACAGTCCCCACAGGAGACGCAGGCCGCATCCCGGACTCGGAGGAGGCAATGGAGTGGTGCTGCCCGAGGGAGGCCCAGGCACGGCCCGCACACGGGGCTGGGGGGACCGTGAAGCCGACCTCTGGGCTCGCAGGCAAACCATTCACAGGGGCCACAGGGCCTTTCTCCGCAGAGCTGCCTTGCTGTTGGGGGGTGTACCGGGAACTGCGCCCAGGGAGGGGCCCTGTACGGGCTCGGAACCTGCTAGAAGTGGATGCTGCAGAGGCCACGTGCTACCAGGGATGTGCTCTGCAGATACCTGTGCTGCTGGAGCCAGGCCCTAAGCTGCAGAAGCCTGTGTGGGAGCCTGGTCTACAAAGTCCCTGTCTTCTGCAGGAGTCCGCCTCGGTAAGCACATTGGAACCAGGGAGAGATCTTTTTCTTCTCCAGTGATCCTCCTGTGCTCTCTACTGACGGGACAACATGGTGCCAGCTGGCAAAGAGGAAATATTTACAGGGTCCAACCCCATCATTGCAGAGCAGGCGATGAAGCTTTTATTTTGAGCTGAGAAGCAATTAATTGATGACTGGCCTGCTGATCAAGAAAAAAAAAAAAAGAACGAAGACACAAGATAGAAAAATCAGGAATGAATGTAAGGCCACTACAGACTTTATAATTAGAAGGACTCTAAAAGAATATTATGAACAACTTTATGCAACTTAGATGGAAAAGACAAATCCCTAGAAATACTAGAACTGATTTAAGAAGAAATAGAAGAGCTGCATTAACATATAAAAAGTACAGATGAGGGATCCCTGGGTGGCGCAGCGGTTTGGCGCCTGCCTTTGGCCCAGGGCGCGATCCTGGAGACCCAGGATCGAATCCCACGTCGGGCTCCCGGTGCATGGAGCCTGCTTCTGTCTCTGCCTGTGTCTCTGCCTCTCTCTCTCTCTCTCTGTGTGACTATCATAAATAAATAAAAAAAATTAAAAAAAAAATAAATAAAAAGTACAGATAAAAAAAATTAAAAAATTAAAAGTACAGATGAGAATTAGTAATTTTAAGTATTCCCCACTGAAAATGTCCAGTTCCAGATGACTTCAATGATGAATTCTCTCAATTTTTGAGGAAGAAAAATAATGCTGAAACTTCATAGTCTCTTTCTGAGAATAGTAGAGCAAGGGAAACTTTCTAACTGATTTGATTACAAAGTGGTATTGTCTTGATACCAAAGCAAGCCAAAGACATAAAAATAAAGCAGCTATAGACCACTATCCAACAGGGACACAGACGCAGTATCCTAAATGAAATATTAGCAAACCAATCCAGCACAATATAAGAATATGAAAAGGGTTGCTCATCATGATCAACTGAGATTTACTCCTGGAATGCAAGTTTAGTTTAATAGCGGAAAATTGTTTAATACACTTTAATAGAATGAAAGCTTTATGATCATCTCAATAGATAAAAAAGCCTCTCACAAAATCCAACTCCCATTCTTTTTGTTTTAGATTTTTAAAAATTTTGTTTATTTAGAGAGAGGAGTATGAACCTGGGGAAGGACAGAAGGAAAGGGAGAGGGACACCTGGTGGCTCAGCAGTTTAGCACCTGCCTTTGGCCCAGGATGTGATCCTGGACACCCAGGATTGAGTCCCATGTTGGGCTCCCCACAGGGAGCCTGTTCTCCCTGTGCCTGTGTCTCTACTTCTCTTTCTCTGTCTCTGTCTCTCATGAATAAATAAAATCTTAAAAAAAAAAAAAAAGAAGGAAAGGGAGAGACACAATTTCAAGTAAACTCTGTTCTGAGGGCAGAGCATGATATGGGCCTCAAACCCGAGATCATGATCTGAGCTGAAACCAAAAGTTGGTCACTCAACTGACCTAGCCACCCCCACACCCCCCAACTCCCATTTTTTTTTTTTTTTATGATAGTCACACAGGGAGAGAGAGAGAGAGAGGCAGAGACACAGGCAGAGGGAGAAGCAGGCTCCATGCACCGGGAGCCCAACATGGGATTTGATCCCAGGTCTCCAGGATCCCACCCTGGGCCAAAGGCAGGTGCCAAACCGCTGCGCCACCCAGGGATCCCCCAACTCCCATTCTTGATAGAACTCTCACCAAACTAGGTAGAAGGAAATTACTTCAAACTAATAAAGCATAACAAAACCTGTAGTTAAGATCCTACCACGTGGTAAAAGACTCCTTATCCTTTAAGATTGAGAACAAAGAAAGGATGTCTGCTTTCACCACCATGTTTGAACATTGTAGTAGAGATTTTTTTTTAAATTTTATTTATTTATTTATTCATAGAGATGCAGAGAGAGAGAGAGAAAGAGAGAGAGAGAGAGAGGCAGAGACACAGGCAGAGGGAGAAGCAGGCTCCATGCAGAGAGCCCGACGTGGGACTCGATCCCGGGACTCCAGGATCATGCCCTGGGCTGCAGGTGGCACTAAACCGCTGCGCCACCAGGGCTGCCCTGTAGTAGAGATTTTAATCATTGCAATAAGACAAGAAAAAGAAATTAAAGTCCTACTAATTGTAAAGAAAGAAGCAGTGCTGTCTTTATTTGCAAATGACATGATTTTATATTTAGAAAATCATGGGAAGCCCCGGTGGCTCAGTGATTTAGCGCCGCCTTCAGTCCAGGGCCTGATCCTGGAGACCTGGGATTGAGTCCCATGTCGGGCTTCCTGCATGGAGCCTGCTTCTCCCTCTGCCTGTGTCCCTGCCTCTCTCTGTGTGTCTCTCATGAATAAAAAAATATAAAAAAAAAGAAATGCAAATAATTTAGAATAACTAAAACAACTTTGTAAAGGAACAAAGTTGAAATTTTTGTACTACCTGATTTCAAACCTTACTATAAAGAGAATAATTCAGGCAGTGTGGTTTAGCATAAATATAGACTTGCAGATCAGTGGAACAGAATTATGAATCTGGAAATAAACTTTTACATTTATGGTCACTTGATTTTCCCAAATGTCCCAGGACAATTCAATGGGGATATCTAATTCCCATAAATGGTGCTAGGACAATTAGATATCCACATAGAGGAAGAACTTAGACCACTATTTCACACCATACACAAAAATCAATCAAAATACATCATAAATCTAAATATTAGAACCAAAACTATAGCATTTCTAAAAGAAAACATCAGATAATAAACTATTTGACCTTATTCTATTTCTTAGATATGAATCAGAAGCATGATCCATAAAATTAAAAATTGATAAAGTGGACTTTGGCAAAATAAAAATTACATGCTTTTCAAAGGACACAATTAAGAAAATGAAAAGATCAGCTACAGATTAGGAGAAAATATTTGCAAATCACATTTCTGATAAAGGGCTTGTATCCATAATCAGTAAGGAATTCTTACAACTCAGTAAAAAGACAACTCAATTTTTTTTATTTAAAGTTTTACTTATTTATGATAGTCACACAGAGAGAGAGAGAGAGAGGCAGAGACACAGGCAGAGGGAGAAGCAGGCTCCATGCACTGGGAGCCCGACGTGGGATTCGATCCCGGGTCTCCAGGATCGTGCCCTGGGCCAAAGGCAGGCGCTAAACCGCTGTGCCACCCAGGGTTCCCAACAACTCAATTTAAAATAGTCAGTGGAGGGGCGCCTGATTGTACATTGCTTTTTCTTGGTTTGGTCATTTTCTCCAGCCCATACAAAAGGACCAACCTTCTATTTTCCTTCCTTCCATTCTTTCTTATTGCCCTTTCTTTTCTTTTCTTTTTCTCCAAAAGGAAGCTCCTTATTTGTCAGGTTTCTGAATCAGTGAATCTTTGAAAAAGAGGGTTTGAATCTCAGTAAATGAAGCCAAAATCTAGGTACTCAGAACTTGTGCCCAGACAGTGGATTGCAGATGTAGGTACTGGGCAAGATAGGGTGCTTGGAAATAGTTCTGTAACTCCAGCCTCTTCTCTTGCAGATAAAGAATCCTGTGAACAAGCTTCTGAAGCCAGTGAAGCACAAACTACAGATAGTGATGACATAGTGACACCAGTATCTCTGAAATGTCCTAAGGCAGTAAGTACACTGGGGTAATCACTGCGTATGAGACAAGGTTATAAATAATGACATTTTGCCTAATGGCCACATAGGTGAAACTAATCCAGGGTTAATGAGCCCAATGGGAAATTTAAGCTATTTAGTTAAATTTCCATTGTGAATGAATGGAAGTCTCTCGATACAGTCTCTGTTGGAAGGATCACTGTCTTGATTGGATATAAATGAGGACTTGCCTCAATCCTTCTGTTCTTTATTGAATCCCTTGCCTGGTTCCTTCATTGTGTGCTGTGATCCATGTCCAGCTTGAGTGATGCCCATTTCCTAAATCCACCTAAGGAAAGCAGGCTTACTTTGGGAGGTGGAGGCTAAAAAAGAGGGAAAGCTCAGAGAGAGCATTCAGTTTCCAAAGTTTTAGGCCTAATATTTAAAACCTGTAATTGTAATTATTTATCAAATATTTCAGCCTCAGATCTCTTCTGGAACCAACTGGAATACATACATACACATAAATATATATGTGACTAAATATCCACAGATATATTTAACAATCATTGTATTAGAGTCTTGTGGGTTATAAGTGAGGTAGGAAACAGTCACTCTCTTGAGTGCTTTCTGATACATTTGTAGGTGCCCAAAAATATTTGTTGAATGAATGACTGACTGAAAGATTGAAATCTGATTGAGGATTATGAACTTCATTAGAAACAATATGAGTATAGTGTGACCTCAAATCCAGTGGTTGGATTATGTAATAGAAACTCTAGGGTTTGTAAGAATTCAGAAAAGTGAAATTATTGCTGCTTTTTGGAAAGGTCAGAAAGCTCTTCCTTGAAAGTCAGAAAGATTATTGGAGTAGGGAGAAACCACTCAACATCAGTAGACCTGGGACTGAGTCACTCAGTGGTTGAGCATCTGCTTTTGGCCCAGGGTGTGAACCTGGGGTCCTGGGATTGAGTTCCACATGGGGCTCCCTGCACGGAGCCTGCTTTTCCCTCTGCCTGTGTCTCTACTTCTCTCTCTGTGTCTCTCATGAATAAATAAAATCTTAAAAAAACAAAACAAAACAAAACAGTAGACCTAAACAGTTAAGATAGCAAATACTTAAGTGTATGTGTATTTTCTTCTGAATTTTTACCTCTTATTTTTCTTTCGCCATTTCATAATTAATATCTTGAGAAATGCTTATAAGATAGATCAGAGCCATAAGATGTTGGAACAGAACTATAACACCTTAGAGATCATAAAGGTGAAGAAGATTAACTAAATATGTCCAGGATAGAGAGCTAGCTAGCAGAAGAGCTGATCTGCAAAGTTTCTAAACTAAGCCACCTCTCAGATCACCCTGAAAAGCCGTCAGCTGGTCAGCAAATTATTTAACTACAAGCCGGACATATTACATTTAAAATATTATTCAAAATTAAAGGCTCCTCAATAAGATCTCTTTTTAGAATACTGTTGTGCATCCAAAAATATTATTGGAGAAACTAAGTATGAAAACTGAGCTTACTGGGGAGCCTGGGTGCCTCAGTTGGCTAAGCATCCGACTTGGTTTCAGTTCAGGTCATGATCTCTCAGGATGGCGAGATGAAGCCCTGCACTAGGCTCTGCGTTCAGCACGATGTCTATTTAAGATTCTCCCCCTCTCCCTCTCCTTCTGCTCCTCCCCTGCTTGCACTTGCTTTCTCTTACTCTCTTAAAAATAAAAAGAAAGAAAACTGAGCTTACTTAGCAAAAACTTAGTGTTATTATCAAATTAGATTCATAGCACAGACACATAGAGTTGACCTTTGAACAACATGGGGGTTAGGAACATGATCCCTGGCACAGTTGACAACCCACATACAATTTTTGATTCCCCCCAAAACTTAACTATTGATAACCTACTGTTGACCAGAAGGCTTACCCATTACATAAACCTTTGATTAACTTGTATTTTGTATATGTATTGTATGCTGTATTCTTACGATAAAGTCAGCTATAGAAAATGTCATTAAGAAAATCATAGGGAGGGATCCCTGGGTGGCACAGCGGTTTGGCGCCTGTCTTTGGCCCGGGGCGCGATCCTGGAGACCCGGGATCGAGTCCCACGTCGGGCTCCCGGTGCATGGAGCCTGCTTCTCCCTCTGCCTGTGTCTCTGCCTCTCTCTCTCTCTCTCTCTCTCTCTCTCTGTGTGACTATCATAAGTAAAAAAAAAAAATCATAGGGAGAAGAAAGATTTACAGTACTGTACTGTATTTTTTTCTTTTCTTTTTTTTAATATTTATTTATTCATGAGAGACACACACACACAGAGGCAAAGACACAGAGAGGCAGAGGGAGAAGCAGGCTCCATACAGGGAGCCCGATGTGGGACTCGATCCCGGAACTCGGGGATCATGACCTGAGCCAAAGGCTCAACCTTTGAGCCACCCAGGCATCCCTGTATTTTTTTTTAAGATTTTATTTATTTATTCATGAGAGACACAGAAAGAGAGAGAGAGGCAGAGACACAGGCAGAGGGAGAAGCAGGATGCATGCAGAGAGCCTGACACGGGACTCGATCCCGGGTCTCCACGATCACGCCCTGGGCTGAAGGTGGCGCTAAACTGCTGAGCCACCCGGGGCTGCCCTGTACTGTATTTTTAAAAAAATATTTAAGAGAGAGAGCATGCCTGCAGGAGCAGGAGGAGGAGAGAGGGAGAGGGACAAGCAGACTCAGAGCTGAGCACAGAGCCCACATGGGACTCAGTCCCATGACCCTGAGATCACGACCTAAGCTGAAATCAAGGGACTGAGCCCCTGGGTGCTCCTGTACCGATTTATCCCAAAAAATCCACATATAAGAGGACCCACGTCATTCAAACCTCTGTTGTTCAAGAGTCAACTATACTCAATCATTATTGTATTTCAGAATAGCTACGCATAAAGATCGAGGGGTTGTAGGACCAGAGATGATACTTGAGCTTTTTTTTTTTTTCTTTCTTATGAATGATATTAAACAGTACATGTTTTTCTTTTTAAAACCTTCTTATTTTGGGGCACCTGCTCAGTGGTTGAACTTCTGCCTTGGACCCAGGGTGTGACCCTGGGGTCCCAGGATTGAGTCCTGGGATTGGCTTCCCCGCAGGGAGCCTGCTTCTCCCTCTGCCTGTGTCTCTGCCTTTCTCTCTGTGTCTCTCATGAGTAAATAAATAATATATTTAATAAATAAATAAAAACATCTTATTTTGAGATGATTAAAGATTTGTAAACAGTTGCACAAAAAATGTACCATTCACATAGTTTTTTGCATGTTTTTTCTTTTTTTTCTTTTTGTTTTTTTGTTTTTTCTTTTTTGGTGTACATTATTCTGAAATGTGCATTTACCATCAGTAACATTTTGGGAGTCCATGCATGTTGATATATGCAGCTTTTTCTAGTTCATTTCTCTTAGCTGCTGATCAGTATTTTGTTAAAATAATATGTGACTTTTTTTTAAGATTTTATTTATTTATTCATTTATTCACGATAGTCACACAGAGAGAGACAGAGAGGCAGAGACACAGGCAGAGGGAGAAGCAGGCTCCATGCAGGGAGCCCAACGTGGGACTCAATCTGGGGTCTCCAGGATGACGCCCTGAGCTGAAGGCAGGCACTAAAAGGGCCAAAAGCAGGCACCAAACCACTGCGCCACCCAAGGATCCCAATATGTGACTTTTTATTTAGACAGACCTCAGTGGGCAACGCTGACTGAACTTTAATGCTCTGTACTTGACGTTCATTAACTCACCAAAGCCTCAGGGCAGCGCTGGGGGTTGTTAAGTCCTTAGTGAGTAATTGTGGGGTGCCTGTCTTAGTATTTGCCAGGCTCTGTGGACACAAGATGATGACTAAGCCAGACTTGGTCCCTTCACTCTTGAATCTTACATTCTACTGAGGGAAAACAGATGTAAATCAGTGATCAAAGAAATAAGGTATTTGTTGATTTTAAATACAACAAAGAAAATTTGAATAATAATTAGCAATAGAACGGGGTGTGGCACCTGGCTGGCTAGGGGGTTGTAGGTTTGAGCCCCAGGCCGCGAGAAGAGATTACTCAAAAATAAAGTCTATATAAAAAGAGATGCCTGGGTGGCTCAGGGGGTGATCCCCGGGTCCCGGGATTGTCCCGCTTTGCCCCCCCCCCCCCCCCCGCAGGGAGCCTGCTCCTCCCTGGGCCTGTGTCTCTGCCTCTGTGTGTGTGTGTGTGTGTGTGTGTGTGTGTGTGTATGTCTCCTGAATAAATAAATGAATCTTTAAAAAAAAATCGCTAGTGAGACCCACCTAGCTGAGCCGTAAGTGTCAAAACCCACACTTGGAGACCACTGTACAGAGCCGGTGTTTCCTGGGCAGGGATGGTAGGAGGGCTGTGCGAGTGTTGCCGAGAGGGCCGCATCATGGTTCTGATGTGAATTTGTTGAGAAACGGCCTCTGAGCTTCCTAGGAGAAGGCCCAAGAGCTCTGCTTGCTTCCCAAGAGAAGAAAAGACGGGGGTGGGGGTAGATCTTTGGAGAAGTGAGGGTATTGGCCCGGCAAGCTGCAGGACCGGAGAGCGCTCCCAGATGACAAGGGCCAACCGGGGCCATTGGGGCCATCCTGGATGCTCCTCGCGCGAGTCATGCCAGGGCCGTAACCCTGCCCTCCGCTTATTTCTTGGAACTGCAAGGATGTCAGCCCTCCCGGTGTTCCTAACACAAAAATGGGCACCAGGTGTGTGGAAAGCGAGGCCGGGGCCGCGGCGGCAACTCCGCAGCGGGGGCGAAGGCCTGGCTCCGTGGCAGGCACCTGTGGGGCGGGAGGCTCTGGGGGCAGCTTCGCCTGCTCGCCCATTCCCAAGCTCCGTTAGATGGAATATGTCTAAGGTTGCGTCCGGGAGGGTAGTGTGCTAATCAGATGGAGCATCGCTAATCTACAGGAAAGAAGTAAGAGTTTTCCTTGTCAGGACTCGGAGAAGATGTGCGTTGAAGTTATCTCGCTGGCCTTCAACCCAGAGGCTGAAGTGATGGGTGATGAGACTGTGAGGCAGGTGTACGTAGAGTACAAGTTCTGCGATGTGCCCTTGTCAGAGACAGAGACTCCGGTGTCCCTGAGGAAACCGAGGGCAGGAGAAGAGATCCACTTCCACTTCAGCAAAGGTGACGCATCCCTTGTGATTGGCTGGGAGGCGGTTCTGAGGGCTCAGGCCTGCCCGGCCAGCCAACGGGCTGGAGGCAGCCATTTTCTTTTATTTATCAAAGTGATATATGCATACGGTCTTACTTAATTTTTTGTTTTTAAAATATTTTACTATTTTTTATTTTAATTCCAGTATAGTTCACAAACAGTGTTATAGTAGCTTTAGGTGTACAACATAAGGCAGGGACAAATCTATACCTTATTCAGCGCTCCTCGTGATGAGCACACCCTTGCAATCCATCACCTATTTCACCCATCCCCCTACCCTCCTCTTCTCCATACTTAAGAGTCCAAATTTTTGGTTTGTCTCTTTTTTTTTCGGTGTTCATTGTTATTTCACTCAGCCTTCTATCCTCTAGATCCATCCACAGTGGCTGCATCAGTTTGCATTCCCACCAACAGTGCAAGAGGTTTCCTTTTTCTCCACATCCTCACCAACACTTGCTGTTGCTTGTGTTTTTAGTTTTAGCCATTCTGACAGGTGTGAGGCGGGATCTCATTGTGGTTTTGATTTGCGTTTCCCCGATGGTGAGTGATTTTAATCATCTTTTTATGTGTCTGCTGGACATCTGGTGAAATGTCTGTTCATGTCTTCTGCCCTACTTTATTTTTTTGGTTTTTTTATTTTTATTTTTTATTTTTTTCCTAATTTTAAATAAGATTGTTTTTTGAGTGTTCAGTTATATCAATTCTTTATCTATTTTGGATACTAACCCTGTAAAAGGTGTGTCATTTGCAAGTATCTTCTTCCATTCACCAGGTTGCCTTTTAATTTTGTTGATTTTTTCCTTTGCTGTGTAGAAGATTTTTATTTTGATGTAGTTCCAGTAGTTTATTTTTCTTTTATTTCACTTGCTTTAGGAGACATGTTTAGAAAGAAGTTGCTATGGCCGACGTCTGAAAAGTTACTGTCTTTGCTCTCTTCTAGGATTTTTATGGTTTCAGGTCTCAAATTTAAGACTTTAATCTATGTTGAGTTTATTTGTGTGTGTGATGTAAGAAAGTGGTTCAGTTTCATTCTTTTGCTGTAGCTGTTCAGTTTTCCTGACACCATATGTTGAAGAGACTTTTTTCTGTTGCATATTTTTGCTTCCTTTGTCAAAAATCAATTGACCATGTAATTGTGGTTTTGTTTCTGGGCTCTCTATTCTGCTCCATTGATCTATGTGTCTGTTTCTGTGCCAGCACCACACTGTTTTGATGACTGCACCTTTGTAGTGTATCTTGAAATCTTGGAGATTGTGATGCCTCCAGCTTTTTCTTTTTCAAGATTATTTGGCCTATTTGGGATCTTTTGTGGTTCCGTACAAATTTTAGGAATATTTATTCTAGTAATATTTATTTTACTGTGAAGAATGCTGGTGATATTTTGATAGGGGTTGCAATAAATCTGTAGATTCCTTTGGATAGCATGGACGTTTGAACAATATTTGTTCTTCCAATCATTGCACATGGAATATCTTCCCATTTGTTTGTATCCTCTTTAATTTCTTTCATCATTGTTTTATAGTTTTCAGAGTAGGTCTTTCATCTCCTTGGTTAAATTTGTTCCTAAAATAAATATTTTATTATTTTTGGTGCAATTGTAAATGAGATTGCTTTCTTAATTTCTTTTTCTGTTACTTCATTATTGTACATAGAAATGCAATGAGGAGCGCCTGGTGGCTCAGTTGGTTAAGCATCTGACTCTTCATCTAAGTTCAGGTCTTGATCTCAGGGTTGTGAGTTCAAGCCTAGTGTGGAGCCTACTGAAAATAATAATAATAAGAAGAAGAATAAGAATAAGAATAAGAAAAGCAGCAGATTTCTGTTTTTCATTTTGTATCCTGTGACCTTACTAAATTCATTTATCAGTTCTAATAGTTTTTTGGTGGAGTCTTTAGGGTTTTCTATACATAGTATCATGTTATCCGCAAACAGTGAAAGTTTTACTTCTTCCTTACCAATTTGGATGCTTTCTTTTTTCTTTTTAAGATTTTATTTATTTATTCAGGAGAACAGACACACACACAGAGAGAGAGAGAGAGAGAGAGAGAGAGAGGCAGAGACCCAGGCAGAGAGAGAAGCAGGCTCCATGCAGGGAGCCCAATACAGGATTCAATACCGAGTCTCCAGGATCAGGCCCTGGTCTGAAGATTGCGCTAAACCACTGAGCCACCCGGGCTGCCCTAATTCTTTTTTCTTGTCTGATTCCTGTGGCTACTACTTCCAATTCTATTTTTTTAAATTTTTTTTAAATTTTATTTATTTATGATAGTCACAGAGAGAGAGAGAGAGAGAGGCAGAGACACAGGCAGCGGGAGAAGCAGGCTCCATGCACCGGGAGCCCGATGTGGGATTCGATCCCGGGTCTCCAGGATCGCGCCCTGGGCCAAAGGCAGGCACCAAACCACTGCACCACCCAGGGATCCCTACTACTTCCAATTCTGTGTTGAATAAAAGTGGTAAGAAAGAACATCCTTGTCTTGTTTCTGGTCTTAGTGGGAGAGCTCTCAGTTTTTCACCATTGAGTATGATGTTCGCTGTGGGTTTTCCATTATGGCCTTTTTAAAAAAATTTTTATTTATTTATTTATTTACGATAGTCATACAGAGAGAGAGGCAGAGACACAGGCAGAGAGAGAAGCAGGCTCCATGCACCGGGAGCCTGACGTGGCATTCGATCCCGGGTCTCCAGGATTGCGCCCTGGGCCAAAGGCAGGCGCCAAACCGCTGCACCACCCAGGGATCCCCATTATGGCCTTTTTTATGTTGAAGAATGTCCCCTCTAAACCTACTTTGTTGAGGGTTTTTATCATGAATGGATATTGTACTTTGTCAAATGCTTCCTTTCCATTTATTGAAATGATCTTACTGATACGATATATCACATTGATTGATTTGCAAATATTGAAATACCCTTGTATCCTGGAAATAAACCCCACTTGATTGTGGTGAATGATTTTTTTTTAATTTTTATTTATTTATGATAGTCACAGAGAGAGAAAGAGAGAGAGGCAGAGACACAGGCAGAGGGAGAAGCAGGCTCCATGCACCGGGAGCCCGATGTGGGATTCGATCCCGGGTCTCCAGGATCGCGCCCTGGGCCAAAGGCAGGCGCCAAACCGCTGCGCCACCCAGGGATCCCTGGTGAATGATTTTTTAAATGTATTGTTGGATTTGGTTTGCTAATATTTTGCTGAGGATTTTTGCATCTGTGTTCATCAGAGATACTGGCCTGTAGTTCTCTTTTTTTGTAGTGTCTTTATCTGGTTTGGTATCAGGATAATGCTGGCCTCATGGAATGAATTTTGAAGTTTTCTTGCTTCTTGTATTTTTGGGAATATTTGAGATATTAGGTATTAACACTTCTTTAAATGTTTGGTAGAGGGATCCCTGGGTGGCTCAGCGGTTTAGCGCCTGCCTTTGGCCCAGGGCGCGATTCTGGAGACCCGGGATCGAGTCCCATCAGGCTCCCGGCATGGAGTCCCTCCTCCTGTGTCTCTGCCTCTGTCTCTCTCTCTGTCTATGATAAATAAATAAATAAATCTTTAAAAAAAATAATAAATGTTTGGTAGAATTTGGGGATCCCTGGGTGGCTCAGTGGTTTAGTGTCTGCCTTCGACCCAGGGCATGATCCTGGAATCCCGGATTCTAGTCCCACGTCGGGCTCCCTGCATGGAGCCTGCTTCTCCCTCAGCCTCTGTCTCTGCCTCTTTTTCTCTGTGTACACTCTCATGAATAAATAAATAAGATCTTTAGAGAAAAAAAAAATGTTTGGTAGAATTTGCCTGTGAAGCCATCTGGTCCTGGACTTTTGTTTGTTTTTTTGGTAATTGGTCTATTCAAATTTTCTGTTTCTTCCTGAGTCAGTTTTGGTAGGTTATATGTTTCTAGGAATTTGTCTGTTTCTTCTGGGTTGTCCAATTTGTTGGCATATAATTTTTCATAATATTCTCTTACAATCCTTTGTATGTCTGTGGTGTCAATTGCTTTTCATTTCAATTTCCTCTTTCATTTCTGATTTTGTTTATTTGAGTACCGCCCCCTACCTGTGGATGAGTTCATCTTTCCAAAGAACTAGTTTCTGGTTTCATTGATCTGTTCTATTGGTTTTTTTAAAGTTTCTATTTCTTTTATTTCTGCTTTAATTTTTTTTTCAAATTTTTTTTTTAATTTTTTAAAAAATTTTTATTTATTTATGATAGTCACAGAGAGAGAAAGAGAGAGAGGCAGAGGCAGAAGCAGGCTCCATGCACCGGGAGCCCGATGTGGGACTCAATCCCGGGTCTCCAGGGTCGCGCCCCGGGCCAAAGGCAGGCACCAAACCGCTGTGCCACCCAGGGATCCCTCTGCTTTAATTTTTATTATTTCCTTCCTTCTGCTGGTTTTTGGTCTTGTTTGTTCTTGTTTATTTCGTTCCTTTAGGTATAATGTTACAGGTTGTTTTTTTGGAATTTTTCTTGCTTCTCAAGTTAGGCCTGTATTCTTATACACTTCCCTTTTAGAATAGCTTTTGCTGCATCCCAGGTTTTGGACCATTGTATTTTCATTTGTCCCCATGTATCTTTTAATTTCCTTTTTGATTTCTTGGTTGACACATTTGTTGTTTAGCGGTGTGTTATTTAACCTCCATGTATTTGTGCTCTCTCCAGACTTTTACTTGTGGTTGGTCTCTAGTTTCATAACATTATGATCAGAAAAGATACACGGTGGGGCACCTGGGTGGCACAATTGGTTGGACGACCAACTCTTGGTTTCAGCCCCGGTCATGCTCTCAGGGTTGTGGGATCAGGCCCTGAGTTGGGCTCCTCACTGTTTAGGATTCTGTCTTCCTCTGCCCCTCCCACTTGTGTGTGTGTGTTCTCTCTCTCACAAATAAATAAATCTTAAAAAAAAAAAAAAAAAAAAGAGGGGATCCCTGGGTGGCTCAGTGGTTTGGCACCTGCCTTCCACCCAGATTGTGATCCTGGAGTCCCAGAATCGAGTCCCACATCAGGCTCCCTGCATGGAGCCTGCTTCTCCCTCTGCCTGTGTCTCTGTCTCTCTCTCTTTGTGTGTCTCATGAATGAATAAAATCTTTAAAAAAAGAGAGAGAGAGAGAGAGCAGATACATGGTATGACTCTGATCTTTTTAAATTTTTTGAGACTTGTGGCCTTATATGTGATCTATCCAGGAGACTGTTGAACATACACTTGAAAAGAATGTGTATTCTGTTGTTTTGGGATGGAATGTTCTGAATATATCCGTTAAATTCATCTGGTCCAATGTGTCATTCAAAACCACTGTTTCCTTGTTCATTTTCTGTTTGGATGATCTGTCCATTGATGTAAGTGGGATTGTGCATATGGTTTTAAAATATCAAATAGGCCTAGAAAGATTTTTAATTAAAGTTAAACAGTCCTGTGGTGCCTGGGTGGCTCAGTGGTTGAATGTCTGCCTTTGGCTTGAGTTGTGGTCCTGGGGTCCTGGGATCGAGTCTTGCATCATCAGGTTCCTTGTGGGAGGCCTGCTTCTTCCTTTGCCTGTGTCTCTGCCTCTCTCTCTCTGTGTCTCTCATGTATAAATAAATAAAATCTTGTAAAAAAAATAAACAGTCCCTTTTTTCCATTCCTTCTCCACAAATCAATCCGTTGTCATCCCCAGCCTTCTCAGTCCTCCAACCCCTTTTTCTGCTGTATCTTGTTATTTAACTCCATATTTCTGAGTAATGTTTCTGTTGCAATTTCCTAACACACCAATTTTAGATATTATGTGCTCACTTCCTGTCATGGCACATAAAATTTGTCTCTTACTCTACATCCATGTTTCCTTCCTCCCATATAGTTGGATCATAACTTTCATTTAATCCAACCCTAGCTGTCTCCATTATTATGGATATGTAAATATTTTTTTTAAAAAAAGATTTTAGGGGATCCCTGGGTGCCTCAGCAGTTTGGCGCCTGCCTTTGGCCCAGGGCGTGATCCTGGAGTCCCAGGATTGAGTCCTGTGTCAGGCTCCTGGCTTGGAGCCTACTTCTCCCTCTGCCTGTGTCTCTGCCTCTCTCTCTCAAAATAAATAAATAAATCTTTAAAAAAAGATTTTATTTATTTATTCATGAGAGACACAGAGAGGCAGAGACACAGGCAGAGGGAGAAGCAGGCTCCATGCAGGGAGCCCGACCTGGGACTGGATCCCAGGTCTCTGGGATCAAGCCCTGAGCTGAAGGTAGACGTTTAACTGCTGGGCCACCCAGGCATCCCTGGATATGTAAATATTCTTATAGAACCAAGTGGCATGCCATGGTTATATTTCCTTTTTTGTTTATTATTTTGCATGAATTTTTCATTTGCTCCATTTTCATTATGCCTGTTGTAGTTCTTTTCACATCCTCTAACCACTTTCCAAGTTTTCCAATAATCAAACCTGTCAAATGATGCATCAATTGTTTTTCCTTGAAGACCTCTCTTCAGCCCAGCATTCAGCAATTACCGGCTGCTGCCATTTGGAGAATTTGATTTAATTCTTACTATTCTAGATTTCCTGTCTCCTGGGTTCTCTGTCATCCTCTGATTCACTTCTAATGGATCATATTTTGTGTTTTAGAGAAAGAATATATTGGAAGGAAACATTTTGAGAGCATGATGCATGAAATCTCTGTATTCTACTCCTTTATTCAGTTGATTATTAGGCAAGCATAGAAATCTATTTTTAAAACATTTTTATTCAGAATTTCAAGGCAGTTGGTCAGTGGTCTTCGCCAGGAGTCTAGCCTTCGTATGACAACTACCTCTACGTGTCCAGAAGGCTTTAACATTTTGTTGTTATCTTTAGTGTTCTTAAATTTCAGAATAATGTGTATATTTTCCTCTAATTGTTCTAGCTGTTCAGGGGGCTCTTTCAATCTGGAAGCTTGTGGCTTTTAATTCTGGGAAATTTTGTTGCATTTCTTTGATAATTTTGTCCCCACGATTTTCTCATTTTCTTAGTAGAGTTTCTGAACTTGCGAATTGATGTTCTGATTTTCTAATTTCCTTCCTATAATCCTACCTCTACCTTTTCTTTGTATTTTGGGTAAATTTCCTTAAGTTTTTTTTTAAGATTGTATTTTGAAGTATGGCTTGGCCCGTTAAGCGTCTGACTGTTGACTTCAGCCGAGGTCGTGAGGTCCACCCGGTCCGCGGGGCCTGGTGCCTGCTTAGGGTTCCCTCTCTCTCCCTCTGCTCCGTCTCCCAAAGCAAACAAAAACAACGCACACTAAGGAGCCCTGCGGCCGCGGGGCTCAGTCCCCGCCGGGGTCTTACTCCGTGACCCGCGGGCCCGCACTTCCTCCTTCCTCCGTCACCAAGGTCCTGGGGTCGGTCCTGGATGTGCGCGGGCTGCTGGGGAGGCAGCCTGGCGGCGGGTCTCGCTCGTCCCCCGCCCCCCTGGCCCGCGTGCCCCGCACCCCTGTGGCCCCGGCGGCCCCGGCGGAGGAGGGTCTGGGGCTGCCGCGGCCCCATGCGGACACGGGGGTGGAGGGGGAACTGGTGGGGGGGGGGGGGCGAAGCTGGGGGAGGGCCTGGAACTGGGGGTCCCGGAGCTGGGGGGACCCGGAGCTGGGGGGCGGAGCTGGGGGGCCCAGGCGGCCCTCGGGTGCCCGCTGCGCGGCGGCGCTGACCCTCGGCTTCCCCTCCCCGAGCCCAGTGATCCACCTGGACCCGCTGACGCACGCGGCCCGAAGGCAGTTCCTGCGCGACGCGCTGAGCGGACGGGGCCCCGAGCAAGGACGGTAAGGGCGCCTGAGCGCGCGCGCGCGTGTGTGTACAGTGTGTGTGTGTGGGGGGGGGGTCCCGGGAGCCCTGGCCCGCCGCCCCCTGAACGCGTCCGCCTCCGGTGGCTCCGACCCGGCCTGGGGCCCGACCGCGAGGCGCCCCCACGCGTGGCCGCAGGACACAGGCCGCTCGCCGCCCGCTCTCCCGACGGTTCCACATTTAGCGTCGTCAAGTAGCCTCCACACCCGGCTTGGAGCCCAGCGCGGGGCCTGAACTCACAACCCCGAGATCAAGGCGTGACCTGGGGGCAGCCGGGGGGCGCAGCGGTGGAGCGCCTCCTTCAGCCCGGGGCCTTATCCTGGGGCTCTGGGTTCGAGTCCCGCGTCGGGCTCCCTGCGGGGAGCCTGCCTCTCCCTCTCCCTCTGTCTCTCTCTCTCTGTCTCTCATGAATAAATAAACAAAAAAAACCAAACAAACAAAGGCCGTGCCCCGAGAGCCGCGCAGGCTCCGAGGCTAGGTCTTCACAGCCCCGTCTGCAGGGTCGCGTTGACCGTGGTGCGGCTGCGCTGAGCCCTGGGCTGGCCCGGTTAGGCCGGTGTCCCTGCTACTCCCGCGACCCCAGAAGACCCCCCGCCCCGGAGGTCCCCAGCGAAATGCACGGGACGGTTCCGAACAAAGGAGCTCACGGTTTCGCTGACATCTGGAACTCAGATGTGAGTGGGCGTCTGCTTGGGGGTTTTCATTTGGGGCCGGATCAGCGACCGGCGTCACCCCCGGCGTGTGGCGGAGCCGGCTGGGCGCCGCCTTGGCCCTGCACGTTCCTGCACTTGCCCGAACTCCGTGTGCATCGGGCGGGAAGCGCCCCACGAGCCCCCCAGGCCGCTGTGCGAATGTCTCCTGTGTGTGCGCGCAGGGGTCTGGGCGGGGTCGCCCGCGCGGCCGGCTTCCAGCCTCCAGCCCCCGGTCCCCGGCCTCTGGCCATGAGGCCCCATCCTCCAGCCTCCCGCCCCCGGCCTGCAGCTGGCCCCCGGCCTCCATGCCTGACTTACTGTCTTTCTTCCGCCCCCCGCGTTCCTGGGACACTCCCTCCCTTCCCTCTCTCGCAGTGGTAGGCCTTTTTCTGGGGGGTGGGTTTCCTATTCAGTTTTAGATCCCGATTTCTACCTCCCTTCCTGCCGCTGCCCCCCCGGGCCAGGTCGTGGGCCTCTAAGGAGGCGGCGTCGCTCTGAGGCCCGACCCCACTCAGGGCCCTCTCGTCCCTGAGCTTCACTGGGCGCAGCCTCTGGGCCACACCTGAGACCACGAAGTGTGTCGGAGGCGCCCGCAGGGCCTGGCGCGCTCAGGGAAGCATCCGACCCTGATCTCAGCACAGCTCTTGACCTCGGGGCTGTGAGTCGAAAAATACACACACGCTTGCGCGCACACACAGGAGACATTCGCACAGCGGCCTGGACCCAGAAAGGGGCGACCCGGTGGGGCCCCGACCCCTCAGCGGCTGGCCTTGTCCCTGGAGGTGCGGCTGCCCCCTCACAGACGAGTGTTGCTTGGGGCCCGGCCAGGCCACTCTCAGGATTTCTGCTTTTTGGCTTGATCCTGGCCAGCTGCGATTTTAAGAGCCTAAGGTTTTAGCCCCACTCTTGCTTCCTTAGCACTATTAGTGACCAGTATCTGCTTTTAAAAAATTACTAGGGATCCACAGTGTCCAGAATAGGAAACCCGGCAAAGGTCAGGTCGCCTGGGGGCCTCCCAGCCGAGGGGCACGCGGCCCTGAGCATGGCCTGGGGGTGGCCTGAGTTCACCAAACACACTGAACTGTGCACTTTAAAATGGTTGAGATAGTGAACTTATGTGTGAATTTTATCTCAACGAATCTAGTAGGTGCTAGGTGCTAGAACTCAGTGCCATTGTTTGCTGGGCTGAATCCAGAGAACAAGGGGGTAGGTCGCCTGCTCACCTCGCGTCGAGGTGCCGGCGCCCCAGGGCCCTGCCTCCAGGCTTGCGGCTTGGAGGAACCCGCTTTTTAAACGTTTTGCAATTCTGTATTCCTTCTGTCTTTCTCTGCTCCAGCTTGATACCCAAATTTTCTTTTATTTAGTAATCTAAAACTCTTCTCATTCTCCTATAATCTTGGTTTGTGTGCAGATACCTTCACTGCCCTGGTCAAATCTTTCTTTCTCTTTCTTTCCTTCTTTCTTCCTTTTTGTTCTTTTTTTTTAAAGATTTTATTTATTTATTCATAGAGACAGAGAGAGGCAGAGACACAGGCAGAGGGAGAAACAGGCATCATACAGAGAGCCTGACGTGGGACTCGATCCAGGGTCTCCAGGATCACGTCCTGGGCTGCAGGTGGCGCTAAACCGCTGCGCCACCAGGGCTGCCCTTCCTTTTTGTTCTTAAGATTTTATTTGACATACACAGAGAGAGAGAGAGAGAGAGAGAGCGCACAAGCAGAGGGAACAACAGACTCTCCGCTGAGCAGGGAGCCTGACGTGAGGCTCGATCCCCGGACCCTGGGATCATGACCTGAACCCAGGGCAGAGGCTTAACTGACTGAGCCCGCGGGGGCTCCTGCTTGCCCCAGATCTTTCTTCAGAGCTGCTGGCTCTCTTGCAAAGCATCCCGTCTAAACCGTTTTGACACAACTTGATCAACTACACCGTCTCGAGTCTTCATTCCTGTCTCCCTGGGCCTGGCATTGCTTCGCACGGGCTCCTTACTCTGGCTGTTCGTCATGTAGGATGCAGGCCAGGGAAGAGTGGCTCAGGGGAACATGGTGTAACTCGTGACAGCTCTGACCTTCGTGTATGACTTCGTGTATGTAGGCTCTACGGTAGCAGCAGTACCGAGTTACATGGAATTTTCCCCTCTTTAGTTTAAAGTTCACGGTGGTAAGTGATCCTCTGGACGACGAAAAGAAGGAATGTCAAGAGGTGGGATATGCGTTTCTGGAGCTGCGCCAGGTCATGGAATCAGGAGAAGACCTCGTGGAGCAAGAGCTAGAGAGTGAGTAATGAGTTCTCATGCTTCTCGGTCTGACTTCTTTCTCAGGCAGTCAGCCTCATCACGAATTCCTGTTTTACCTTCATTTTGTGACGATCACCGTGAAGCTGATTATACAAACTGGGTCCAGATCCCTTACAGGCATAGTTACTTCTGGAGCGTCAGGGCGCTCCGTTGTCTCGGTTGGCCCGTGTGCATGACATGAGGTTCAGGACAACTGGAATACAGTTTGTTTTTTTTTTTAAAGATGTTATTTATTTACTCGTGAGATGGAGGGAGGCAGAGGGAGACGCAGGCTCCCGTGGAGCAGAGCGCCTGCCGTGGGGCTTGGTCGCGGGGCTTGGTCTTGGGGCTCTGGGCGTCCTGCTGGAGTCAGAGGCACAAGCCCAACCGCACGAGGCAGCCGGGCGCCCAGGGTGCAGGCTTTTAGGACTCTGCAGTGTCTGAAACGGGGATTTTGGAGAGCCATATATGTTGAGATCAGAATCCCTGAAGGCTCTTCAGGATGTGAGGTCTGTAAAGGCAGCCCGTGCGCCTCCTGTAAGGCGCGGCCTTGCCCATCTCTCTCACAGATGCCAATTATCCTGCCCCCTTGGGATTTGTTGCCAAGTTCGTTTTGGTTCCCAGAGCTTACCGGCCCTGCTCCAGAAGTGGCTGCATCCTCTCACTTCCGCCCCATTTCCACCTGCTACTGTGCTTCTGCACGAAGTCTGATCTGACCACCACATTCTTCCGAGGCCCATTTTTAACATTATTTGCTGCAAGATTGGCGGGCTTCGGAAACTTTAGCACTGGAATGCCGGCGGGCGGGCCGTTCTGCGCTCGCTGGGGTCTCCCCCTCACCTCCCCGCGAGGCTCCGTAGGCTGGGGGGCCGCCCTCCCCAGCTCTGCTCCCTGGACGCCGGCCCTTTGCACTGTGCAGGGATCCCCTCAAGCCTTCTCTAGTCAGGACCTCGACATTTCTAAAGCCAATGAGGCTTCTTTTGCTTTTTTGATCATCAAAAGAGACACTTGTAGTAACTTCCTGATTGTGGCTGCCCCTTCTCTCCACTCAGGCTTTAAATTCTGTTGGTCTGATTTGAAAATCCAGAGCCTGCTTTCTAGCCCGCAGCTACCTTCTCTCAGACTCAGCTCCCTGAACTACTTGCTCAAGTCCGTGCAGTGCTTCAGCTACGATCAAGTGGTTTTTTTTTTTAAGATTTTATTTACTTATTCATGAGAGAGAGAGAGAGCGAGAGAGAGGCGGGGAGACAGGCAGAGGGAGAAGCCAGCTCCATGCAGGGAGCCTGGTGTGGGATTTGATCTCGGGACCCCAGGGTCCTGCCCTGAGCCAAATGCAGACGCTCAACTGTTGAGCCCCGAGGCATCCCACTCCCAGGATTTTAATTGTGGTCTGAAAATGATCTCAAATCTAGGGTTCCAGTCCAGATTTTTAATAAAATCTAGACTTAACGGTGGACCAACAGTCCCCTACCTGTGTTCCCTTAGTACATAAAGCTGGACCCTCTCTGCACCTCATGTCCCCTGACCCACCCCCAGTTCTCCAAATGACAATGCTCCTCCTGGACTCCAACCTACTCCTCACTGCCAACGGTAATGACGTTTCAGTACTTTTCTTCTTCAAGTGCCGAACCCCGTCCTTCCCTCCCGTCCCTCAGCTGCTTCACAGCGCGCTGTAGAGGCTCCTAGTAATGGCTGCTTTTCTGGAACCCAAATATGAATCCCCACTTCTGCGCTTCCGTTAAAACCAGATTCCTTAGAAGACAAACAGGGCCCTTTGTGACCTGGCCCGGGTTTATCTATACAGATTCGCTTTTTATTTTTTGTTTTTTTAAAAAGATTTTATGTAGTTATTCCTGAGAGACCCAGAGAGCAGCAGAGGGAGCAGGAGGCCCCCCCGCGGGAGCCCGTCACGCCTGACGGGGAAAGCAGAGCCTGACCTCTGGGCTGCATGAGCCACGGCGTCCCCAGATTCATGTTTTAAAACAAAAAATTGTGTCCTGCGGGCAGGTGGGGAGCGAGAGGGCCCAGCCCAGCCCCGGGAGCCGCCGGAGGACCCGCCGCCTGACTGACGAGCGCCCGCCTTTCCTCTCCCGCAGTCGTGAGCCCCGCGGAGCGCGCCCCCATCGGGAGGCTGAAGGTGGGCGTGCGCGCGGCTGCCGCCCTGCGGGCCGTGTGCGCCGAAACACAGCCGAGAGCTGAGGGAGCCGAGGGAGCCGTCCGGAAGCAGCGGCCCCGCCGCCAGGGTACTCTCCCGCAGCCCGATGACCCCGCGACCTCGTGACCCCGCGAAGCAGGCCTGCTCTCAGGAGCCGCCCAAGAACGGTCACAAAAGGTGAATTTACAAAAACAAAACACCAACAAAAAAAACCACAGTTTATTTATCTTTTTAGTTCTTCCAAAATTGAAAATATCAAGTCCTACTGCTAAGGAGAAAAAAACGAACAAATAAAATCCGAGACCCCTCCCCCCCTCCTCTCTTAAAGTCACAGAACACGGAAGGGACTGCAGCGGGACAGGTGGGGGCAGAGAACCAGGAGGGGAGGACGGCGAGAGAAACTCCCCAAATACTTAAAAAGCTGTTCAACAGAAACCGTGATAAATACAGGACAAGGCAAGACAAGTAAAAATAAGGAGCAGCAGTGACGAGGGGCTGTGCTGCAGCCCGGCATCCCTTCCTCTTCTCTTCTCTCTCTGGGGCATCCCAGGCCCAGGGCTGGCCTGCCCCTCCCAGAGCTACCCAGGCTTCCTGAGCTCCTGCTAGGGCCCCTAGAAGCGGCGGGAGGTACAACCATCTTTCCTCGGACACACCGGGAAACACACAGTGGTAGTTCTGCTTCTGCCCCTGAACCATGTGTGGGTCCGTGAGGAGGTGGACGCTGGGCAGGCAGGCCGCTGCGTCCCAGGTCTTCCAGGGCAGCAGAGGCACCTCTATCTGTGTGAGGCAAAAAAAGCAGGAAAACTCGGGCAGAGGTACCAGCCCGATCTGCCTCACTAGCTCAGGTTGTACGCTTTGTCACAGCTACTAGCCGATCCCAGGAACCTTCTTTTGAGCACTGCAAAGATGGAGCGTAAAGAGAGGTGAGGAAGGTCATGGCAGGTAGGGTGGGATGGAGGGTCGAATCTGCTGGTCCAGAACCATGGTACAGGTGGTCAGGGGTCACCCGGTACCAGTGTCTTGGAAACACAGCTTTGAGACATCAAAGAATAAGATGTCCGAAGCCATTGATGTCCCGGCAGAAGGTGGCAGGAAGAGAGAGGAATGAACGGTATTTATTAACAGCGGAAGCCTCTGCCCTTCTTCAAGAACACCTCCTCCCTCGCCATCTGGATGGGGCCACTGGCACGTGTCCTGGTGGGCCTGGAATTCCCCGAGTAGATTGGTCCACACAAATGGCCCCCTAACCCATAGACTCAAATGGCAAAACTTCAAAAGGGAAAAAAAAAAAAAAAAGGAAAAATACAGTTTCTATGTCATGTAAAATTTGTAGGGGTTGGCTGGATAAAGAATGGAGCTGTGGACCAAAGTTCACAAGTTACTTCCTCTTTTTCTTGGGGGGTGCAGAGCTGTGTCTGGAACCACGGTTAGAGCCACGGCCTGAACTGTGCACAGATGCCTTCCTCTTCCGGCTCATACTTCGACTCTGTTCTTCTTCTTCCTCGTAACGACTTTCTCGGTCCGCTAAGCAGGAGAACGAGGCATTGCTAGTTAGCGACAGGTTAGCTGTGATACTAGTAGCACGTGATAGCAGAACTACGACAGGCAGCGCACCCTGGAGTCAAACTTAGGTTTTAATCTTTCCAATCTCCGACGCTTCTTAATTGTATGATCTTGGGAACATACTTAACCTGGCCGAGCCTCGGTTTACGTATTCATATGATGGAAAATTATTTCACGATTCAATGAGGTGATCCCAATGCTTAGGATCCAGTAGGTATTTCCCTTTCATCTTTGATCTGGCGTTTGGTTTCAGTCATTAAACTAATAGTACAAAAACAACCCTAACCCAGAAGAGGCCCAGACAGGACTTAGATTTGGAAACTCACAGCCTAATTCTAGAGCCTTCCCAGACTATGTGGCTATCAGCACAGCTGTGAGCCCACATGAAGAAAGCATCAGCTAGTCACGCCACCTGGGAGGCTATGCATGCGTTCCAGAGCTCATCTGCTAAAGTCGGAGCTATAGCTCCACAGGAATTTTTATAGTGTTCATTTGTTATTCTTATTAGGCAAATAACATATCAAAATACTAAAATCTGTTAGAAATCTGTGCCTCAAAACTAAAAACACACAATTTACCTTTTCGGGCTTCTTCCTCCAGTTCATCCCAATCCTTTCCGCTCTCTTCTTCACTGCCCAAGGATTCCTTGGAATAGTCTAGAATAAAATTAAGTAGGTCATTAGACGGAAGTGCAATGCCAAAATTATTCCCTCCTTTATGGGTTTCCAGAAATGACATTAGATTAAAAAGTCATGAAAAAAAAAAAAAAGTCATGAAAAATTTTCCCTATAAAGACAAACCTGATTCTTCGGCTTCTGATGAATAATCTTCATCACTGTCCTCCTCCTCCTCTTCATAATCATCCTCTGAAGGATTAAAAGTCTCATCTTCAATTTCAGACTCTGAATCCCCTTCCTCAGCATCACTCCCCTGGTGAGTCAGAAAGCATAATACTATTTACTGGGTTCTTTTTTTGACATTCACTTGATTAACTTAATGAATTAATTCAACCCACTTAGCACACCAGCATTATTTCTATTTTACATGAAAAACATAAAACCCCAAAACCCCAACTGACCACAAAAGGACTAATAGATATTTATCTAGTAATTGCACTTCACTAGTAATTTTCAAATTCGTATTTCTTAAAGATTCACTTCATCCTTCCTACCCACGAAAATTAACATTAGAAACACTCTTGGTAATAATGCATTTTGCAGAAGCGGAAGAAACATTTCTTAGAAAACAAATTTTGCAAAATGCCCTAAAGTTACACCTGAAACTGGTATTATGCTGTACGTTAATTATACTTAAAAAAAAAAAAAAAGGTAAAGTGCTCTGAAGTATTTTCCCCAAGTGTAAGACAGAACAGTTCTGCGATTTCAAAGCCGTGTGACTGGCCGTCCGGGGCCCAATCAATTCCCATCTACCCGCGAAACTAACCTGGAGACACGACATGGTAAGTGACCTGCTCCCTCATGTGCTACTTCCCTGGCATTTCCTAGCTGCCCACATAGTAACGGGCACCACTGTGACCAGAAAAGAAACCCCACACTCACGCACCTCACCCTCAGGCTCTAGGAAAGACCAGCCACCTTGTTCGAAGAAGCCCTCGGGGTCGTCGACAATGGTCTTCATGATTTTAGTCCAGTTGAGGGACTGCACTCCTTCCGTGTACTTTAGGTCACAGGAACTGAGAGAGAGGATATTATTATGAAGTCAAAATCATCCTCTGTGCTTTCTGTGAACGTTACTGTGTCATCTTCTCATAAGCATATCTGAAGAGGAGATAACCTTTCCCGAAATACAGGAGAGCAGACATTCTTTGCATTATGCTACCAGGATAGCCCCCAACAGCTGGTAACCGGTCTCTGGGACAGCAGCCCCCGGGACAGAGCGGCATTCCAACTGAAGCAAGCTTTGGCCCTCAAACAAAGCTCGTCTCCTTGTTGTATCGTTTTCTTTCTTAAGCATCAATTTCCCTGTTCCTCCTCTAAGCCTTTCTCTTTTTCCCCTGCACTTTCCCCTCTCTCTGACTCCACTCTTATTTACAAGTAATTTCAACTTATAAGCACCTCTCTAATTCTTACTTTTCAGCTCTGGATCATTCACACCACTGCAGTTCAGAATTAGGAACTGGCCCTAGCTTTCTCTCCCCAATCTCCTACTGATTTCTTATGTATTACTTATTTGACGCAAGGTCTATTTGAAAGGAGGGATAAGGTTTTTGTTTGTTTAGTACCTAAAGTGCCCTGTATTAAGATGTTCAAATGACTTTCTGTTATGTACTTCTGTTGAAAAGAGCTCAAATCAATTGAAGTGGGTGGGAAGGAAAAGACAACCGAAGAAATGACAATAGTGAGGATCACAAGAAATATGTAACCACTGCCAGAAGTCCAGGACAAGCACTACATCATACACACTGTAACCTCTGCCTCTAGCCCTGGTGGAAAAACAAGAACTAGATACACCTTTTCATTTAAAAAACAAAAACACAAAAAACCAAGTTATGAAACAGTTTTTAAACACTGGATAAAGGGGGCCCTGTGTGGCTCAGTCAGTTAAGCATCTGCCTTTGGTTCAGGTCATGATCCCGGGGTCCTGGGATCGAACCACCCACCATGGGGCTCCCTGTTCAGTAGGGAGTCTGCTTCTCTCCCCACCCCCGCTTGTACTAGCTCTCTCTCAAATATCTTAAATCCACAAAACATTGGATAAAAAGTAGCACAGGTTTATAGTCCCCTAAGGAAGGAAACAAACGGGGTTGTTTTATGACTCCCTAAGTTCTCTGCCTGGAGGCGGTTCCCAGGCTGCTATGAAGGGAAGGGAACCCAGTCAGAACCTGAGAGACAGAGAAGGATTTGAGGAGGCTGAAATAGCTAGAATTTGTGAAGCAGAGAGTACTAGAGGAGAGACAGTAATAGGAAATGTTTTGGAAATATGCAGAGGGATCCCTGCCAATTGTAGGCCGAGAACGTATCTGCACACGCAGGAGAGGAAGCTCAGGAGAGGTGGGCAAAGCAGCATTGGAAAACAGTAGGCCAGACAATTCCCAGACCTCACACTAAGCTGGAAATAGTTCCTGTTCCTACCAGCCTCAGTAGAAAGACCTTGTAACACACAGGGAATCAAGAGTCCTCAAAAGAGTACTCCCTCAGCAGTGGTAAATCCTAAACAAGTTTGAAAAATCAAGTGGTATCCAAGTCCCTTAATTATATCTAGAATGAAATCTAGAAAAAAAAACAAAAACAAAAAAAAAAAACCCTAGCATCCAAAAATGTGTAGTTACAATGTTTGGCAGTTGATCACAAATCACCAGACATGCAAAAGGCAGAAGAAGGGCAGCCCAGGTGGCTCAGTGGTTTAGCGCCGCCTTCAGCCCAGGGCCTGATCCTGAAGACCCGGGATCGAATCCCATGTTAGGCTCCCTGCGTGGAGCCTGCTTCTCCCTCTGCCTGTGTCTCTGCCTCTCTCTACCTCTCTCTCATGAATAAATAAAATCTTAAAAAAAAAAAAAAGGCAGAAGAAAAACCAATAGAAACAGACCCAGAAAATACAAAGGT